CCCTCCTGGCTAATGCCCTATATCTCTATTCCCTTTATTCACAAAGATTCTTGGACTTGTGTCCTACTCCTATTGGGACCACTCTCTGCCACCCATCACCACTCTTCCATCACCACTAGTTAATCCTCAACAATCTCCCCTGCATGACTGATTTGAATGTTTACTTTTCTTTCTAGGATCATAGATAAATGTGTTCATTAGTTAATCCAGCAAGCTAACAACCACAGTGATGTCCACAATGTTCATATGAAGTTATGTTTAGAATCCCACATTACCTTCAGAAATAAGGAATGTGATGCTCAGAAAGCTTAAATTTTTAGTAATTACCTAACAAAGCAGTTAAAACTTATGTACAGGCTTATTGTGTATAAATCATACACAAATAGAAACTTGAACTATGTACTCTTCATTTTTGTGTAGGTCCTTTAATTCACCAAAGTGTATGCAGGTTATTGTGTATAATTTTACATTAATGATTTAATTCAGTGGAACAAACCTAATGGTACATGCCTATGGGTAGGATCTAGAGCACATGTAGCTGACTCTCACTTAAGAGGGATGGGAGATAGCACTTCTAATGGGGAAGAAAGCCAAGTGTTAATACGGATGTATGAACAATGGACTGAAATTTAAGTAATTCACATGATAAACCAATTTTTTATAAATAGAAGATTAGCCTACATTTGGAAATGTAGTAATAAGAGCCCATAAAGTTGCTGAGAAGAGCACTACAGCCACACACAACACTATGGTTCAGCCTTAGAAAAAGTGTGTAGAGATTCACACCTGACTCCAGATCCATGAGAAGCCCAGGAGAGATCAGAAACAAGTCCCAGCATATAATTCCATTTGATTGTAAAGGTATTGTGGTATCCCATTTGACAAGGACAGTCCGTTATACAGCAAGAACTGACTGACACAATAATCAAGTGAACAGAACTGAGACAATTACAACTTGTGCTCCTTTTTACTTATGGCTTATCTGACCTTAAGGAGGGCAGTCATGATCATTCTGTTATTCAAGTTTATTTCCAATGACTTTATGAAGAAGTGACTATATTTGGGCTCCCTTCTGGGTAACTGAGAGAGTTTGAAGGACATGCACATTTGTGCAGAAGAACTGGTGATGCTGAACCACATGATCAGCAGGACATCCAGCTCTCCTGTGAAGCGTCCTCTGATCATGCAGGTGGAAGAGATTTCTGAGCAGGAAGGAGGTATGAAATGGCTAATGCTGATATTGTCCATTCGCCACCCCTTAGTATTTGAGACAAATATTAGGAAAAGGGAGTTATTTCATGGAACAAGATAGAGAGAGTCATATTAGCAGGTAGCAGTGGAAATTTTCAATTAGAAACAGGAATATAACTCCGTGATAAAACTTAGAAGACACTAAGCAATCCTTCACCTCAAAGAATAACCCCCCTCAGTTGTGGACACCAATTATCTATGCTTCAATAAATAGATGCAAACCATGAAAAGGAAATATTTTGGATAGTAATAAAGTTGGTGGCTTGAAATGTTGCACCCTCACAGTTCTTAAATATTTTTACTTTTTTAATGCCAGTATAATTAGCATACAGTGTTATATTAGCTTCAGGTGTACAATATAGTGATTCAGGAATTCTATAGATTACTCATTGGTCCTCACGATAAGTGTACTCTTTTTTTATTAAGGTTGTATTTGTTTGTTTGTTTATTTATTTATTTGAGAGAAGGGCAGGGTGGGGAGGGGCAGAGGGAGAGAGGATCTGAAGCTGACTCCATGTTTAGGAGGAGCCTGATGCGGGGCTTGAGCTCATAACCCTGATATCATGACTTGAGCCGAAACCAAGAGTCAGATGCCAAACCAACTGAGCCACTCATGAGCCCCTTGATAAGTGTACTCTTAAACCCCTTCACCTATTTCACCCATCCTCCTGTCCACCTCCCCTCTGGCAAACACCACTTTATTCTCCATATTGAAGATATGTTTTCCTCTGTTTTTTTTTGTTTGTTTGTTTGTTTGCCTCTTTTTTTCTTTGTTTTGTTTCTTAAATCCCACATGTGAGTGAAATCATATGTTGTTTGCCTTTCTCTGACTGACTTATTTCACTTAGCATTATACCCTCTATATCCATCCATGTTGCAAATGTCTACATCAAAACAAAAAGTTCCTGCACAGCAAAAGAAACAGTCAACAAAACAAAAACACAACCTACTTAATGGAAGAAGATACTTTCAAATGATATATAAGACATCCAGATGACCAAAAGACACATGAAAAACACTCAACAACACTCATCATCAGGGAAATGTAAATCAAAATCACAATGAGATATCACCTCACACCTGTCAGAATGACTAAAATCTACAGCACAGGAAACAACAGATGTGGGCAAGGTTGTGGAGAAAGGGGAATGCTTTTGTACTATTGATAGGAAAGCAAACTGGTGCAGCCACTCAGAAAACAGAGTGGAGATTCCTAAAAATTAAAAATAGAGCTACTCTATGATCTAGGGATCCCACTACTGAGTATTTACTCCCCAAAAAATGCATCCACCTATTTCTGGTCACCTCTGACACTAAGAACATATCAAGTCAATCCGTTTATTCAAATTTGTCTTTCCATGCAGACTCCACTGGGAAATATATGTTTGCTAATCAGTGTTTGCCAGTGTCTGTGATAGGCTTTCTGGACACCTAGGTGAATAATAGAATAAAACAAGGAGACTAGTTATAAAGCACAATAGCATGTTTGTAGAGAAAGTGCCTGACATGAAGCTTTTGATTTCTGAAGCATGCATTTCAAGGACAACCATGTTGAATAAACATATTGTCAGGTGTGTGACAATTACCAGATAAGCAGTCAGGCTGTCCCCAACCATGAAGTATCTCTTCAGAAAGATCTGGGTAACCTCGATACTGAACCAGTAGTGACCCTGCTTTCCCTTTCCCTGCCAGAATTTCACTCTTATGTTTTAAACTGGTCAATAAAGAGCGAACCTAGGAACCCCTAGCCACTCTGCCCATGGACCTCAATAAAGGCAGGGCCCCCAGTTCTGGCTTTCTCTCTCTTGTTCTGAATCTCTGACCCTCTGCACTTTCTGACACTGCTCTCCAGGACCTGTGAGTATAAACCTGGTTTTGTTAGAGTTCTTTGATGGGCACTGCTGAGGCATGTCTTGCAATCACAATAAGAACCCAAGGGCTGGTGCAGCCACAGCAGAGCCTCTGGTCCGGGAAGCATCTGTGGGAATGTCCACAAGCACAGGGGTGCAGGGGAGTGCCCGGGCTTTCCTAGTCTAAGCATCGCTGTCAGTAGCCTGAGACTTAAAGGGAACAGTGTTAGAGTCCACATTCTCAGGAAGAGGAGTGAAGGTAGTGATGTAAAAAGACTGACAGAATCAAGGTGAAAACTGGGGTTTTGTATTTTCCTCTACAAAAAAGTTATGTGAAGGGCTTAGGGGCCAAGGTAGTTTCTTCCATATGAAGAATACAGCTCATGATTATTCTTTTGGGAAATCTAGAGAAAATTTACTTGGCATGGTATGTCATTTGAAATGAAATTAGCCCGGTGATGGGTATTAAGGCGGGCATGTACTTCATGGAGCACTGGGTGTTATACAAAAACAATGAATCGTGGATCACTACATCAAAAACTAATGATGTGGGGCGCCTGGGTGGCTCAGTCGTTAAGCGTCTGCCTTCGGCTCAGGTCATGATCCCAGGGTCCTGGGATCGAGTCCCGC